CAAATTATATTGTTATACAATGTGATTTCATAGCTATTGCAAGAACTACATAGAAATTGGTAGAAATTTTACTTTACCACACATATCATCATAGCCATTGCTACCACAACAAATACAATTACAATTGTAATCAACAATATACAATTCCTCCTTTCTTGAATTTAAGATTGCAGTGCAGCTCGTAACTGATAAAGTAGCCTTCTGGCCTCCTCCCAGCTTAACTCTGAGCTTTCCCATTTAGCATTACTCTCTTATTTCCAAGAGAAGAACTTGCATCATCCTCTTGTGCCTATGTATAAAATCAAAAAGTCAGAACAATGCTTCGTAGGTCATCCCCCAAATAGGAAATTTCAAGAAAACAACCACTTCCCACAAAAATCTACCAAACGAAATACCCCCCAAAGATTATATTTTTAGAAAATATTTATTTTCACGAAAAATCCCCCAAAACAAAAAACAATTTCATACAACTAGTTCACAATCACCTACTTTCCATCTTTGGCACCCATAGAACCTCCGGCCACCTTCCCTTCCCACACACAAAGGTGCTTTTAATCCACGATTACAATACACACCAGGTTCGTAGTAGAGGTTTGAACCCATCCTTGAATTCGAGGTGAAAGAAATTGAAGTCATTTCGATCCTGGAGAACTTGAGCCGAGCTTAGAGATGAACCTAGCTTCTTCTGGGAGACCAACGTAAAGCTTCTGTCAAAGATTGACGATAAGGGACTGCGGTGTTCTCAAAAGCGTGGGTGGGAGGCCTTTTAAAATTGACGATAAGGGTTGACGTGGAATAAAAATAAAAAATTAACTAAAAGGAGTGCCAGCTAAGCGGAAACCGGGAATAGAGGTTTTTTAACCGGTCATTTTGCCTCATATGGCCGTTTTTTTTAAGCAAGTGTATGTTGGTGACACTTTTATGAGTAGAAGGCCTTATGTGATGATTTGAGAAAAGTAGAAGGCCTTATTTGACCCTTTTCTCTTATATAATTGGTCAAAGTTTAACATCATTGATTTAAAAAGCCAAATTTGGATAAATAAAAAGGGGCATAAGGAGTGGTAAAAATATACTTTGTATGTAATTACATACCGCCCACCTTTTGTCCAAGCCGAGCTTTCGCTTGGGGGGGGGGGGGGGGGATGCGGAAATTGTCGGACTTGAGATCCCGCAGATGTAACTTGCTCAGGTTAGGAGGAGCTTAATCCTTTCCCCGATTCTTGGTGTGGGCCCCATGGGCTCGGCCCTCTCATGGTTCCATCCGACCCCAAGGTGGACGTTCAGTCTTTATCCTTTTACATTTGGAGATGATGCAAATGGTGGACCAATGATGTTGGGCCAACCCAATATTCCAATAATGACATGTTTATAGGTTGCAAGTGTTTAAAGGAAGTATTTCTAGGTAAAAGGATTAAGCAGAAATTTAAAGTTTCACCAAGTCAACCTGATCAAAGGACCCAATAACTCAAGGTCTCAGATTAGCAGGGAGCCGACCTACCAACCCCATAAAGGCCATCCAGCAGTCTGATAGAGAGCCGACCTACCAGTTCAACATGAAAGCCAACCACTAGCCTGACAAGCAGTTGGTCTACCAGCACAACAAGGAGGGAGCTCGAGCGATCGACCTACTAGTCTCGTAGAGCGATGGTCAAGACAATTAATCGACTAATTAACATCTTAGTAAATGCTCTATTGACATAATAGTTAATATCGCATTCAATAGCATGTTAATGTCGTAGTCATTATGGTTGATAGTGGTTATGCTTTGTAAACACTTATACAAGGCAACTGAAGTTCAATAATGTCGTATCCTTTATTTCCTACTTGAGTATTCTATCGTAGTTTTCTTAACAAGTTTGTTAACGTCCTTTTTTGCTAACGACCATATTAGAGGTCATTTTTTTCAAATAGAATCCATCAATTTTCTATTTTTCTTCTATGAATTCATGACATATCATATTATTATTAAAAATAGAATTCACATAACATCAAACTAGATCAAAAGGGACTTAAATAACTTGTCTCGTCGGATAAGAAAATTTAATCTCTCCATTGAAAAGAGTATCTTCGTACGGGGAGGAAAATAATTAAGGAAAAAGGGACAAAATGAAAAAGAAAAAATAATCAACATGAAAAATAGAATTGTTGAGTCCACCATTAACTCTAACAACTTTGGGGAACAATCTTTTGATAAAACAAATTAGGAAGAAGAAAATTGAATGAAAAAAGAAAGAAAAATTGGGGAAAGAGGGGAAGAAATAAGAAAAAAGAAAAATAGCATATCCTCGCACAAATAAAGGGATGGAGTAGCCGAAAAGAGAAGGAAAAGGGAAAAAAGATTGGAGCAAAGAGTTTAGAAGTCACACTGGTTAGGATCAATGATAAAATTCTAGACTGAAATGTCAAAATACTTTCAAATTGGTGCAAGATGAGACTATTTTAAGAAAAATTGTGGAAAGTAGTTTTAAATTTTTTTTCAAAGTAAAGGAAAAATGTGTAACAGCCGTAAACAAAGAAATAAGATGATGTTCAAATGTTGGTTTATTTTGAAATTAAATATTATTTTTTTAATAGGATTAAAACATATTACACTTTCTCAAATGGGGGTACCATTATATTCTCATCAAAATAGAAATCACACATTCTCCTCTTTGGGAATTTTTTGCTGTTTTGTTCTTGAAATCCAAATCCTACTTAGAAAATAAAATATAACTAGTCCATTTTTTTTTAACTTTGGTTCTATTTTGTGTAGTTTCAAGTAAGACTGTTTTTAGAACATGATGAAAGATGAAATTTTAAGTTTTACTTTTCGTGAAAAATATAAATAGTTTTGAATCACATAAATTTTTCTAAAAGTTTGTTTGATAATTATGAAAGTTGGTTGGATCAACTAAATCTACAAAATTGTTGAAGTAATAATTGAAACAACTGAATGGACTGAATCGTGAGAAATTATATTGAAAATGCATATTACAATTAAAATACAATCATGCAGGGAAATCTAAAATTGTCTCTTAACCAACTTCACCAATTTCGTAAAGAAATGTAATTTGAAACTAATTAATTTTGATTATTGTACATTTTTTCACGTGAAATCAAAAGTTTGATTACAATGACTGATAAATCTTATAAGACGAAAATAGAGTTTACCAAAGAGATGGTTTCAACTTATTGACTTTATCAATTCATCTTTTATTAAACATAGAACTTTTGATTTCATCGGCTCAATTGTTTAAATTATTAAATAAGTAAGATTGAAGTTATTTCTACGGTTCAATTGGTTAAAATTGTTGAAGAGAATTATTTTAGTCTTTTTTCACATAATTTTTGTACTTTATTAATAACATATATTTTGAATATAATTTTTCTACAACTTAGCAAATTCAGCCGCTACAACCAGAATTCCATCAATTTCAGTAGATTCAACCGATTCAAATGTTACCAAACGGGCTCATAGTAGAGATACTGAATATTGTTGATAAAATGCAAAAAAATATTCGTAGTATAAAAGAATGAAAGAATAGGAAAAAAATAAGTATGAGTGTATAAGTAGAGCTTGTTTAGTCAAAGAAATGCTGAAAAAAGCGGAAGAGAGGCGCTATGTCGCCTAGGGTTTTACATGGCCGTACATTGGCGATCTCGGAGTAGTTTTTGGTTGCGAAGCAGATTCTTTTCTGAGTTTTGGATAATAGCGTGCAATGGAGAAATTATGGAGAAGTCCGAAATCATCAATAGGTTTCAATCCGTGAACTTACGACCGTTTGGCCCGTGTTTGGCCGATTTTGATGATTTCAATAAACTTACGACCGTTTAATCTTGGAGGGAAAAGGTAACATGATAATGGTCTGTCTCCCTCTTGAACCACCACAATGGAGTAAACAAGCAGCTAGGGTTTGGTTAACTGCATTTCCTTGCTCTATTTTTATTTTTAATTTAAGCTTTATTTTTCTTTCATTAGACATTTTACATTATTTTTGGATTGTTTGTGTTAGTCACATTATTGGGATGTATAAGGTCATTATTTACCTTGAAGCTTCTGCATGTTCAACGAAAACTTTCACTAAGATTTGGATGAAGTTTTCTATATCTGATCAGGGACCGAGAGAACTTTTCGGCTATTATATATGAGTCTAGTAAAGTCGGGAAGTGTACGGTGACCTTAAGGGTCTGTAAGAACTCTAATATTGTCCATTTGGTGGTCAACGATTCGTGTTGCTTCTTTGAAGGTGATCGTCTCTGTGTTTGATTGTAGGGCTTTTAGTGAGTCTAGATGGAGTTTTTTAGAAGATAGATGGTGGAGTTTTAAGTTGTTGGCTAATTTTAACTCCGAACATTTGTTTGATTTAATATAGTTTGAAGATTTACTTTTAAAAAAACCACAGCGGTTTGAATTGCAAAAAAGTCACATTTAAAATGTTTTTAGTAAAACAAAAGGTTTTTAGTAAAACAAAAGAAAAAGAGAAATATGTGAAAAATAAGTAAAGTACGGGGTAGTTTTGTTGAGCAATTTTAAATAATCACCTTAAAAGGTAACTCTAATCTTACTTATTTTAATTATGACACAATTCAGCTCAAAGGATCAAAAGTCATGTATCTGTTAAAAAATGGTTGATAATAAAAAAAATGGAGTGTGTTATCTAAAAAGCTTCTAGATATTTTTAGATTTATGACTCATGCAGACTAACCTATACTTAAACAGACCAGACTAGAGCTCGATTAAAAATATCCAAAATTCATACATTTAACAGATCGGATCAGTTCAGACCAAACCAGATCTAAATAGATCACATCAGGATAGAGCGAAAAATTCGATCCACTTAAATGTGTAACTCAGTTGGTCGAATAGCAAGAAAGTTAGAATAGTAACTCTCGAAGTTTATCGTATTATTACAATAAAAGATGCGTCCACCTAATTATTACGGAGTATTTTTGTAATTAATGCATACTGCGTTAAAAGTTGAAATTTTATCAGCTATCCATTAATAGTACTCCTAGAAAAATCGATATCCTTTTCGACCTTTAGCCAAAAAAATAAATATAATATTGTTATTATTAAAATCTGTATCTTCTCCGGATCTGCTTATTATAGCACTTAAATATACAGGGGTGTTTTCGTTCTTCAGAAACAGAGAGATCTGTTGGGCTCTCTTTTTTCTCTCTGTTTCCTGACGTTACTGTCTCCAAACGTGGAACTCTACGGTGATTGTTTCTCCGAATTGCAAATTGGTCTCCATCCTCACTGTTTCCCAATCTGTATTTGTTATCAAGTGTCTTCATTATTTCGTCATGGCGTGTCTTTCTTAACCCGACCCTGTGTTCATATTGGATCTGTATCGATCTTTTCTGTTTGAGGTCCCAATCCTTTTCTCCAAATCGATGTTGACAGTGTGCATTTTATTGAGAAATTTCTTTCAGGGGCTATTCAATTTAGGATTTATCGCGCATAAACAATGTTATTTTATGTTTTTGTTCGTCTCTCGTTTGTCAATTGGATCTTTGGGTTCTTAATCTTCGTTTGATAATTTTGAATCTCTCTGAATCTATTTCCGGATCATCTTTTAATAATCATTTATTTGTTTGTTGCACATATATACCTCTGCATGGTCAATGCATGTAACATTGTAACCTCTCGGGTTTATGTTTTGTGCATATGCTATTGTGTTTTATGATCAAGGTTTTGTAGCACCATTTCAATTTGTTAAGGTCAGGCGGTTGGCTTTGTCGGTGGTATAGCTGTTTTATATGTTCCATTTTGTTAATTGTTTCTTCTTTAACAGCTTTGTGCCACACTGTTGTCTGATTGTATATATCTATGGCCGGTACTCCTTTATGGACTATGGTTGTGGACTAGTTTTCCTATTATGATCCAAATCAACTATTGAATTTTAAATTGGCTTTGTAATTTGTGCTGATCTGAGTATTTTCGTGTGAAATTCTGGATTTTGATTTGTTAATTTTTCCATCATTAGTTGTTTCTTTACTTTAATCATTTAATGTTCTTATATCCTGTAAGTGGTTTTTCATTAATTAAGTAGTAGTTTACACGTTTCTTATACTTCTTCTCTGTGTTTTGTGCAACAGGGATCCAAGGCACTCAAAGGAACTCTGAAATTAGCATCTCATTGAAATCATGGGTGCAGATGTGGAAACTAAGTTGGCTCATGTCTCGGCTGAGAATGGAGGTGACAACAACGGTTTTTTGAAGGAAAATGGTTCTGTACCTAATGAGACCATAAAATTTGGTTCCCATGGAACAGAGGAACCAATCAAGGAGGAGATTAAAAGTGCTCCTACAATCAACCTTCCCAAGGATGCCGTTGTTGAGGATTGGCCTGAACCTCAGCAGATCCATTCGTTCTATTTTGTTAAATATCGGTCGTTTAAAGACCAGAAGCTGAATGCCAAAATTGAACTTGCTGAGAAAGAACTTCAAAAGATTTACCAAGCACGAAGCAGGATGATTGATACTTTAAGAGCCAAAAAGGTAAGTTTTTAAGACTATTTGAATAATGTCAGTCACGACGTATCTGTTTTGATTTTCACAGTGATGAAGTGGTTCACTGTCAAAGGTGAAAGCCTATTTTCTTCAAAAAAAAGAAGGTGAAAGCCTATTGCTCACATGTTGGCTATTGGAATTTATTTTGGAAAGAATTTTTATTCTATGAATTACTCTGACCTGACATATAAGTTCACATCATTTCAGTTTGTGGTGCACTCGAGTAGTTTTTGTTGTTAAACACAGAATTTCACATTACTAATGCTTTGAGATTCATTCTAAATGATTGATCTAACTGGAATGGTAGCTCAAGACCTTATAGGTGGGGTTGTATTTTCTTGCTCCTTCCGTCCCAAAATGTTAGATGCATTTGGATTTGGCACAAGTTGAATAAAATAAAAGAGACAATCATTATTCTAGTATTGTACCCTTCAAAAGGATAAAAAAGTAATACTCCCTCAGTCCCAAATTGTAAGATACATTTACTCAAGGTTCGAAATTGCGTATTACGTAGCCGTGGCGAATTTTGAGTATCTCATATTGTGTAAGCCTCATTGCGCAATAAGGCGTATAGTTGAGGCGTACACACACACATACATATGTGTGTGTGTAAATGATAAAAAATAAAACACATTAACCGCTGCTAAATAATAAATATTACTCCCTCCGCCCCCCTAAGTTTGAGACGGAGGAGTGTGGTGTGGTTTTTAAGAAAAAGTGGAATTGTGTGGTTGGTATTGAATTGATAAAGTGTAAATAAAGTAAGAATGAATTCTAACCACTCAAATGTTACCAAATATGGTATGGGACAAACTTAGTGGGACGGACGAAAAAGGTAAAACGGGACAAACTTAGGGGTCGGAGGGAGTAATATGTAGGAAAGCTGAAGTACATAGAAACTTAATCACGGCTAAATAATAAAATATTAATATGTATGAAAGCTGAAGTATATAGAAATTTAACCGCTGTACACTGCTAATACTAATAAACAGAAACTTTTAATAAAATATTAAAAGTTGAGGTACTCATAAAATATACATTAATATTTAGCCTGAATTTAAACAGGACACGAAATAATATTAAAGTTGAAGTTATCATTAAATATAAAAACTGAAAGAACATACTGATATGCTGAAACTTAAACGCATGAGAAGATAAAGGTAGATGAACAATAGTGTAGAAGAGGACGCCTGTAGTTGACATATGAAGAAGGCACAGCGAAAAAGTGTGTAGAGAATAGTGTAGATAATGGAAAGTTTTCATTCAAAACTAATATCGATGTGCTATTATACCCTGAAGGGTTGGCCGGTAACGCCGGTTTTGTGTTTTACTAAAAGTGGGCCCAGTGGGCCCAAAAATACCTAAAAATCACACTCAGTTTAACGTACGCCACATAGATGCCTCATTGCGTACATTGTAATATTGTATTGCGTACGCCTTAACACAAATAGCGTACGCTTTAGTCCTGATCGCAATCTGCCATGCAATATTACACAATGGCCTGGGAAATATGTGAGGCGCGCCATAAGGCGCAATTGCATTGCGCAATTGCAAACAATGCATTTACTATTCACTTGGTCAACATAAATCACTCTTAATCTTTTATTTTATAAATCAAAAGTTTATGAAGTTTGAATTATTTTTTGCAGGTTTTGTAGCGGTTTTAATGTAGTTTTTGAATATGTAAATTTTATTTTCTAGAACTAATTTGAGTTTTGACATGGATCAATTTGCTTTATCGTTAGTCAAACATATCTTACAATTTGGGACGGAGGGAGTACATGTACTGCAAAAGGTAAAAAGTGGTGATATGAGATATAAAAGGATAAAGTTGGAAAATAAAAAAGGATACAAAAGTAATACATGTACTTAAAAATTGTATACATTTTATCCCTGTTATCCTTCAAATGGATAAAAAAGTAATACATGTACTTCAAAAATTGTATATTATTGGGTCATTTTTTTGTGAATGTAGCTTGCACAATGGGACAAACAGAGTATATTATCCAATGCTGAATACTTAACATGTTGCCAAATGGTCTTATTGCCTTCTGCTAGTTTATGAACTTATTGTAAATGTATATATATTCGTTTACATTGTTTTCTTAAGCTTGGGGGCTTACTTTCAATAATCAAAATGAGCTGCTTGGAACTTTATAATAAATAAATAATGCCTTTTATTTACAGGCAGCTCGGTCGGAGCTAACTAATGAAAGGAAGTCTTTAAGTGCTGAAAGACAGCAGTACAGTTCACAGATGGATGAGAAAAGAAAAGTGATGGAACCTTTGCAGCAAGCTTTAGGCAAGTTGCGAGGTGGTGGAAGCAGAGACAGAGAAAGGGGACCTGTTATTTTTTCATCTGAAGTTGAGCTCAATAATTATGTAATCTCTCTGGCGTTTCACTTCGTTTGAATCTGTCCTTCCATGCTCAATGTAATTTTTTGTCTTTTAGTTATTGAGCATAATATAATTTCCTCTATGTATAAGCAGATTAAAAGTTTGGAGTATCGTATTCAACATGAAAGCATACTTATGAGTGAAGAGAAGCAAATTATTAGAGAAATTAAACAACTTGAAGGCACGCGAGAGAAAGTTATCGCAAATGCTGCTGAGAGGGCAAAAATTGAGGAATCTATGGGTGAAAAAGAGTCTATCCAGAGCCAGGTCAAGGTAAATGTAACTTTCTTTAGCAAGACATGGTTGATGTTAGCGAGTCTGTGAGTGATTATTGTTGTTTTTGTTGTTGTTGTTGTTGTTGTTATTTATATTATAATGGGTGTGCAAACCATTGTGGCCTACTAATCCCATGAGCCTTGAAGTTGATGACTAGGCATTCCCTCCAAACCCGATCATGAGCCTTGAGTAGCAGTGGACATAATGGTTTGGTATGAACGAGCTCAACCAAACTAAACCAAACTCTCCCAACTGAATCCAAATCATATGCAATTCGGTTTTAGTTAGATAAAAATTTTCTTAACTATATTAATTTGAACCAGACAGAACTTTCCAAACAAATCAAACCAAACCAAATGTAGTTTGGTAATCATTCTCCCAGCCTGTTGGGGTTTGTTGAGTACTGATTGTGTTTTTCAAACCAGTTGAGTACTAACAAGTACTAACAAGTAACAAGTAGGGGTTCAAACCAGTAGCTCTTCGTTATTCATTGTTTTTCATTTCTTTTTGTAGCTTATAGGTGTTGATCTGGATGGTGTTCGGAAGGAGAAACAAGCTCTTAGTGCTAAGCTTAAGCAAATTGATGATGAGCGTGATGCCTTGAATAAAGATATTGATTTGTTGGAGAAGGAATTGGATGCATTGGCTCAAGAAAGGGACAAAATCAATGAAAGCATTGTTGATTTGAAGAAACAGCGTGCGCAAGGGGTATGCATGTTCTTCTTGATCACTATATAGACAAAATGTATAATTATTTAAATATGTATGTCTTAATGTTGTAATATCATTTTTCATAAACCATTTTGTGTTATCTTTCATTTTGACTCATTTATAAACTCTTTTGGTTCTGTTTCCCCCCTCCAGAATTCTTCATTCTTCAAGTACGAGAAGCTCAATTTTGAAGCCAGACAACTTGCCAACAAGAAGGATATCGCTGCTCTGAAAGTGCTTAGTGAAACAGAGGTTTTTATTCCATTGTCTTTTCCTATTCTGTTTTACATCATTTTTAAACTCTACAATTAAAAAGGCTTTTTTTATTTATTTTGACAAGGTCGAGAAATTCATGACCCAATGGTGCAACGACAAGTCATTCAGAGATGACTATGAGAAGAGACTTCTACAATCACTTGATATGAGGCAGTTGAGTAAGGATGGTAGGATGAGAAACCCTGATGAGAAGCCACTGGTGTTGCCGGAGGCACCTCCCACAACAACCGTGGCATTGTTAAAAACAACAAACCAGAAGCCATCAAAGGAAGATTCAGCTCCTCCACAATCTGATGCTTCTCTCCCAGTCTCAAAAGCTCAGAAAGAAAAGAATAATAATAATAGTAGTAGTAATAACAGCAAACAACCAAAGGAAGAGACAAACAAAACCAAAAAGAGTTCATCCTCGGGGGTAAATGTCCATAAAGATGATGAAGAAGAAATCCCTGGGGTAACAGATGTATCTAAGGATAAGGATTCAAGTGTTAAGGAGGACAAAGTTGATGAAGAAGCTTTGAGGCAGGCAAAAAGAGAGGAAGAGCTTGTGAAATATCGGGAAGCATTAGAGAGGAAGAAGAAAAAGGAAGAAAAAGCAGCTGCTAAAGCACAACTAAAAGCTCAGAAGGAAGCTGAAAAGAAGCTCAAGGCAATCATTCTTCTCTTTTCTGTTTTCATTCTTCAAAATAAAAAATTTCACTTTTAGTTCCACACAACTATTAGGCCATTACCACTTTTTGTCCCCAATTTTTTGCAACTTATGGCCCTTCTGATCTCTTATTCAGTCAATTTCTGGTTGATTTTTTCCGTACAAGTGGCAGGGAAGAAAAACTTTAAAAAATCACGGTCAAGCACCTAAAGTGGGAAAGGTGAAAGTTATGGTTTAAAAATGGCAATGGTCTAATACTCTTATACTCCAATGACTAAGAATGTACTCCGTATTTTTTAATTTCATTTTGGAATAAATAAATTGGTCTCACAGGCTGTGATTAATGATTTCTGCAGGACCGTGAGAGGAGGGCCAAAAAGAAGGGGGGTGGAGGTGGTAATACCCCCGATGAATCTACAGAGGACGCAAGTGAGATAACTACTGAGGATGCTGAACGGGAGAAGTCAGAGGAGAAAGTTGAGACTGCTATTGAACCAAAGAGAAAAGAGAAGAAGGCGAACACTGTGAGGCAGAGGACACGTGGAAAAGGATCATCTGATATTCACAAAGTCATACTCAAACGTAAGAAGGCTATGAACTATTGGGTATGGGCTGCTCCGGCTGCAGCCGTTGCAATTTTGTTACTCTTAGTTATAGGGTACAAGTTTTTTGCCCCGTGAAGCCTATTGCTGGTCGAAAGATGAGTCAAAAACTTCCATTTCCATTTCTGGGTGAGACCGAGTCGGATTTTCTCTGTTTGTTTGAGTATTCATTTACTTTGAGAGGATCAGATATACGCATCTTATTTTATTGTTTATGTTTTGAAATTTGACTAGTTTCTCAACTTTATTTAGATTTATGTGTTGGAGTATACTAAAAGTGACATTTTACTCGAGAACCAAAAGCATTTTTTACTTCTGTATGTATGTATTGGCAATAATTTTATGTGTATCATTATCACTTTCATTTTACTCGTTTTATTTCTCTATACCAAAGGTAGCGGCTATTAATCTCGGCCAGTCAAACAAATCATCTCTGTGCACTACCATCGACTCCATCGAGTAAAGGTGGGGGGTGGGGGGAGAATTGGAGAAGTGGAGATATTAGTAAAATACTAAAATATGCCCCACTAGCTTTTTGACTTTTTCAGAATATGAGTTTTAGGGGAATGAAGATGTTTTTTGGTTTATCAATAGGTAAGTTTAAATAAGTAAGTTGACTTAAATATTAAGTAAGTTTGAAGTTATTTTTCTGGTTAAATTGATTGAAATTATTGCAGACAATCAATTTATTAATGATATATATATATAGAAAAATCATGATATAACATATTCAGGCGTTCAGGCAATTTAGTCGTTTCAAACAAAATTTCATCAATTTTTCAATCGATCCAACTAATTTTGATGTTATCAAACGGACGGTTAATTTTGTAGAAAAAAGTCAAAAATGAACCCTCAAATGACTAAATATAAATGTTTTTACTATTAGGATCAAATTCAGACCATAATTGCACGATCGGTCCAATTACATAAGAAAGTCATAGTACTCGCACGGGTAGCCCAGTTGATTGAGTGTTGGGAAAGTCATAAGATTGACCAGAGATCGAAACCCGCATCGATTGTGGGGAGTCGTGGATATTACAACTCATGTGTGCTGGATTAGATCTACGATGCGCACGAGTACAAGTTCTATCACAAATGAGATGACTGAGTAATCGCGACTTATGACCTCCCAAATACCATGTCGGACCGGGGCATGGGGCCCTTGGGATTGATGTTCCAACCTTTTGGAATATATAATTCTTCGAATTGTGTTACTTACCACTTTAGAACCCGCTCAAACAGGTGACCATTCAATTGTGTTACCTACCATTCTAGTCCAGTTCCGAAACAGATCCGAACTCCGCATAGTTCCAACTTTTGAACATCCGACTTTTGACTAAATTATTCCCTTTGTCATATGATATTTGGCCAACTTTAACCACATATTTTTTTTATTTTAAATGGAAATTAAAAAACTTTGACAGCTAAAAAGGAGGAGTTTGACCAAGTGTTGAGGGACGGAGAGAATATCATATAACTACTTATTTAGGAGGAATCCGTCTCCCCTTAGACCATTCTTCTTTTTTGTCAAAAACCAACTACAAATTATACCAAAATTGTCAGAATAAGTGGTCAAAATGTCCGCAAGCAACAAGTGATGACATATCTATAGCCTTTTTCTATAGGATTGCAACCAAAAGTATAATTATTAAAACTAGAAGCGAAGGTGGAGGATATGGTATCACAAATCAAGTATATGGTGTATAAAGTACTTTATTCTATATACCGGATCCATATGATTTGTTTTTGAAACTCGGGTGTGTACACCCTTTTTTGTCATAGTTTGATGGCTGAATCTTTGTGATGAATAGCTGCTCTACATGGTTAGCAATTACGTAGATGGGTTAGGGCATCCTTGCGTGGGATTGCCTACAGTTTTTGCTTTTTGTATATCATGTACATAAACATTCTTGGATGATTCTATTTATACATTTACATTTTATCCAAAATAAATTAAAACTAGAGGCGGTAAAAATTGAAATGAACTGAGATGTATATGATCAAAAGCAGGGGCAGAGCTACTGGGGGGTCAGGGTGGTCAGTCGGCCCCGCTGAAAATTTAAGAGTGTAGAGCTCTGAAATATCTTCGATTTGATATATTATGGCTCTCGTAACTCATTACAAGTAAAAAGTTATGACTTCTGCAAAATCAGCACTATTTAAGTTTGAAATTAGTAAAATTGTGATGCGTAATATTAATTATATTCACAAAATAGCGTATAATTCACTTGTTACTTACGTGACATGACTTAGGGACAGAGCAAAGACAACATATCTTACTACTACGAGTGCTACTCAATAAATGATTTTTTTCTACTTTCTAGTAAGAAATCTTGATACTAAACCGAGTAAGATCGAAGAGAACCATAGAGTAATAGGGTAAGACAATGGGTCTCATTTGAGGTACTCAACTCAACTCGTATAAAACAAGTTTATAATATATGTGACATATACGAAGTATATTAACTACATATACTCTATTAGTTTCATTTAAACTATCATTTATCTAAGCTACATTCAATTCGGATATTGTCTAAAAATAATCTACCGTTTTGATTCTATGTAAATTTGATTTCGACCCTGCTGAGTCATTTTTCTGGCTCCGCCCCTGATCAAAAGTGAAACTAATTCAATTATAAACGCTATGTGTTAAATCCACCATTCTGCAGCCTCTCCCTGAATAGGTTTACCTTAATTACATTTTGCTAATGTGAGAGAAGAGAGTTGAACGAAGGAGACAATAAAACATGGAGTGTCGTGGGTGGAGAGAAAAGAACAGAGGGTCAACTGGCTAGAAGAATTTAAGTAGTGTTTGTGCAGTGTTTTCTTCGATTCGTGGAAATGGGTGTATTCCCCATTTGGATTCCACTCATCCATTAAATGCTCATAAATTTTGGGTACCCAACAAGTGACTTCCTCAATATTATCTTTCACCAGTGGGCGTAGCTCAACTGGTAGCAAGGGAGTGCCACAAGGGTTAGGTCTCGGGTTCGAATCCCGGCAACTGCGATGAGGGGTTACTATGCTGAAAAATGCATAGGGCCTCTGCAAGTACCGGGGACAGAGCCCCACTCTCTATCTGTCAGATTGTGATTATAGTCCAATTTACATCCTCCCATCGTGCCGTCCGGTCGGTGGTGGGGGGCCCTCAGGGATGGGGTGTCATCCTTTTTTCAATATTATCTTTCTTTGAACCATTCATATTTAGAATATATGCAACAGTTAGGGGTGTTTGGAACTGATTCTGCTATTGCTTCTTTTTTAAAAGCAGAAGCAGAAGCAGAATCAGTTTTCAGAAGCTGGTGCCCCCTCAGCTTCTAAAAAAACTGCCCCCTCAGCTTCTAAAAAAACTGATTCTGAGAGTAAATTAGAGCTCCAGAAGTGTTTCTGGAATTTCACCCAAACACTCCAGCTTCTGCTTCTGTTCCCTAAAAGAGCAGAATCAGTTTTGAGAATCAGAACCAAACACCCCCTTAATACCAAGAAGTGAAGATAATAAATTTGTATGACTAAAACATAGTCCGTCTCATTTTACATGTCTTACTTTTGTTTTTAGATTGTTAAAAAAATCATTTTTTATGAATTAATTTCGTTTTTGGTCCTACGAGTTTTATGTCATTTCAACATTTAGTACACATCTTTCATTTTGCTCTCTTTTGATTTTAACTAATGTTTCTTGACCATTTATTGTCTTTCTCTGGCAATTTTAACCACTGCAATTGTTGCCGAAAGAACTATATATGAACTAAAACACAATAGTCATGTACCAATAGTGGTTAAAGTCGAAGACGTGAATCAATTATGGAATCAGTGTGATATTCGTAGCACCAAAAGTGAAATTTATTCTTTTTTTATTTGGAAAAGAATAAATGGTTTTGAACTTTCACTTTATTATACTCAAACTTTAACCATAACTTTTACCTTTTAATTCACTTTATTAATAAATGTGTCAAATTAAAACAAAACACATAAAATGGGAGAGAGGTAGTGTTAGATAATTGATACCCATACTATATATATATAAGGAGTATAAATAGGAAAAATCCGGGTCTGGACCTCTAATATGGGCCTGACAGACCCGATTACATAAATGGACTGATAGTGTAAAAGCTAATCTAGAACATCTGAATAATAATAATGTACAATAATAAGAATCCGCTAAATGTGTGTGGGCCGCTGTTCAGGCCCAGTAGTCGGCAGACCGGGGGGTCAGAGTCCATATACACCATCAGGTAGTACTAGTAGTATTCTTTCAAAAAATTGACTAAAACATCATTTAAACCCCAATCCATATTAGTCATGGACCGGTCCCGAGCCGGTCCGGGCTCCAGGCCGGTCCTGGGCGGGCTTTTTATGTTTGGCTTCAGGCCCGGAACCGGCCCAGGTTCCCACCGGGTCCGGGCCGATCCCCGGGCTTCTTCATTTTTTTTTTTTGCTTTTCTACTCAACCCCCGACCCCCCCCCCCCCCAAACCCCCCCACCCTTGGAAAAAAAAATGAAAAAACAAAAACAAAAAAAGGCCCGAACCGGGCCCGACCGGTTTCTATTTTGGGTGACCCGAGCCCGTCCCGTATAACCCCCGGGTCGGGCCTACCCGGACCGGTCTCTGGCCGGGCCACCGGGCCGGGCCTTGACTAAAACATAATTTGAAACCCAATCCATATTAGTCATGGACCGGTCCCGGGCCGGGCCTGGGCGGGCTTTTTGGGTTTGGCTTCGGGCCCGAAACCGGCCCGGGTTCCCACCGGGTCCAGGCTACGGGTGGACTCGGGCCGGGCGGCCCGCCCCGGAACCGGCCCGAACCGGTTACTGTTTGAACCGGCCCGAACCGCCGACCCGGATAGGGACCGGTCCGGGTAGGCCCGACCCGCTGGGGTTCCGGGCCGGGCTCGGGTCCCTCAAAAGGTGAACCGGCTCGGCCGGTTCGAGCCCGGTCCGGGCCATTTTTTTTTTTTTTTTTGAATTTTTTTTTTTTGAATTTTTTTTAAGTTTTTGGGTTGGGCTGGATATTTTGGGCCATTTGAGGTGGTTTGGGGTGAGGGGGGAGGGTTGGGGGTTAATTAGGAAAAGCCCAAACAATTGAACCGAGGCCCGGCCCGGCCCGACCCGGACCCGGGGTTACCCGGGCCAGTTCCGGGCCTCCCCTTTCATGAACCGAGGCCTGGGCCCGAACCGGCCCGAGTCCACTCCTAGTCTAGGCCGGTCCCCGAGCTTCTTCATTTTTTTTTTTGCTTTTCTACTCAACCCCCGACCCTCCCCCCCCACCCCCACCCCCAAAACACCCAGCCCAACCCGGGAAAACAAAAAAAATTAAAAAAACAAAAACAAAAAAAGGCCCAAACCGGGCCCAGCTGGGCCGGTTTCTATTTTGGGTGACCCAAGCC